GAACTGATGACATCCATACCAAAAACAACGGAAATTCATCCTTGCTCGCAGATTCTTGTTCCCGTTCTGAAGATCGCACAAGAGTTTGACGGAAAACAGTGCACTATACCGCCTATTCTCTGAGCAGAGAATTACAGCTGATTGATTGAATGACTGAGTAATAACAGCCTTAGAACTTAGAAAATAATCGTAGTTAGTCTATCTGATACAACAATGGCCTCTGCTTGTTGCAAAGAATTCTGTCAATGACCATTGTAGTTTTTCACTTATGTGCCTTATCCGTTAATTCGTCGGGCTGCCATCTTTTCTTGTTATTCCCTAAAAAATGTATCTTTCCATTTTGTGATGTGTATCTTGCGGTTTATGAACAATTTTCGTGTATGATATTCACCTTTATCAACCATTGGATAGCACGAGGTGGACACTTATAGGAAACTTTCCATTTCAATCACTGTGCAGTTATTTGCTGATAACACGCTTTTAGTCCCAAAAAACGGCTTCATTCCATATTCGTTTTTCGGTTGATATCCCATAGTCGGTTCTGAGTTGTAGAAATGAGTTGTCCGAGATACGCAGATCTCTCCAAACCAAAGTCAGCTGATTTCAACAAATAGCGCGGTCACACACTTTCTCTTCTTAATCGGAATTTCCTTCCGGCTCATTTCAGTCAAACCTTATTGAAGAAATGTTGTCTGATCCATAAATTAGCCACTAAGTCCAATTCTCTAACTCTTGTAGGCACAATAGCACTAAAAAGTGCGTTAAATCCAGCTTGAATTTTAAAGGAAATCGCGACGCTAGTATACTCATGAACAAACGATTGGTTTCAGGACAATACACAATATTTAAACATAGTAAAAGCTATTATACCGTGAACTTTGCCAAGCTCATCCGGCACGTATTCACCGGTGGAAAGCTCACTTTGTTGGTTGAAGTAGGTGTAATGTATCTAATTCTGGTGTTTGTCACTGTAAGGAATATAACCCATCTACACCTCCACCAACTCCGCCGTTGCCGGTTCCAAACCCGGAGGAGAAAGGAGGAGGGTTGGAGACTGTGGCAAGTCTCCGTAAAATTCAGCCACCTGCCACTCATGGCATTCACGCCATCAAAAATTATACCGGCTCTGTG